AAAAAAGAAAAGAATGTTTTGACATTTGCAGAAAAGAACGACAATGACTTTAGAAAAAAATCATTGAATGAAGAATCTGCATGGAAGCGGTTCGAAGTATAATACAGCAAATATTTAAAGCAATCTTTTTAATCAATTCATTTACAGTCAGTATTTGTTTATTTATATTTGGTCAGGAAACTCGCAGACAAAAAGAAATGAAACAAAAGTCTCAAATTTTCTTTCCAAACCATAAAAAAATAGTCAAGTCCGCCTCGCGCTGGGACGTAGCAAACAGCGAAGCCACGACACAACCTTTTACTGGCCTTTTTAACTATCACCATGAATGTCATTTTTATGGTGTGCGATCGCCCGGAGCGGATGGGAGGCGGTGGGGGGCGCAAACAGAGACGGTTTATTTTCCCATGTAAAATGAGTGGAAGAGCTTGCGCGGTGCGCGACCCCGGCCGGGCGTGGAGTCGCGCGCTGCTTGTGGGAATCCGGAGGAGAATCCGGGGGAAGGCACTGCACTGCGATAATAGGGCGGTAAAATCAGCACTGGCGGTAATGCAAGAATGCGCATCCTGGCACGGTTCCCTCGGCCGGCGCCGGCATCAGATTCGCATCCAGCGGATGAGAAATTCATTTGCGGCTCGCGACGCGATTCAGCGTCATTATGTCGCTATCGCTGGCATCGGCGTGGCGTTGGACAAACTCGAGCAAAGCAGTAGCGGAAGGGGACGCACAGTGGGCCAGAAGGCCGGCGGAGGCGGACGAAACTCTAGACCGCGTGTTTTAATCTCCAGAGTCGCTAAGCAGGCCTCGAACCGAACGTGTGACCCCACCAATGGACTTCTCGTTCGAAGAGCAATCCATTGGTGGGGTCACACGTTCGGTTCGAGGCCTGCTTAGCGACTCTGGAGCTCAAAACGCGTCTAAAGTTTTGTCCGCCTCCGCCGGCCTTCTGACCCACTGTGGGACGCTTCGGCCGGCCGGTCGGAGGCGAAAAACTCGTGAAATAAACGACCAAGACGACGCGTCTCGCAAGGGCCCCGACTTTACGATGCCTTTGAGGCACAACGCTGAACGCTCTTCGTGTTGCTAGGCCGCGCTGCTACCGGTAACGCCGTAAGAAGGGCGTCAAGCGGACGGTAGCAACGAGCCGCCCCCAAAAATGAAGACAACGACGCAATAAGAAAGGTCACGACAGAAGAAATGTCAAGCGGAATGAGAGAGGAGGGTCGAGTCTCAAGAGCGAGCGCGCCGAGCACGCGCGAGGCCCACATTTTTATAAAACCCTCTTCGATGCAAATGACTCCCCAAGGATTTTTCTCTTCCTCCCTTCCCCGCCCGGCCCTTGGCCCTCGGCAGCGCAGCCCTTCGCAGAGTCCCTTCCGCCCTTTGGGCCCTTCTTTTCTTCCGCTGCGTGCGAGCACGCCGCCCTATTCTAATTTTATGCCTTTCTTTATTAACACCCGCAGAGCAAACGGGTACAAGAAACACGGCACACACACACACACACACGCACACACGCGCGCGCGAGAGAGGGCGAAATATTCTTGCGAAATGGCCTCCCGGCGTGCAGCGGCGTCGGTGCACCGGTCCGCGGACCGCCCGCCTGCCGGGCCTCGCGGTGCCTGCCCACCGAAATCGGCAACAAAAGGCAACGAGGCGACGGCCTATACGGACGGATGGCTAGCAGACTGACTCCGAGAGCCGTTGTCGCTCTGTCTCTCTCGCACCTGTACGAGACGCCGCATGAGTGCGAGAGAGACAGAGCGACGACAGGCCGAGGAACCCGGAACCCCGGAATGCTAATCAAAGTGGAAGCTAATCAACGGCCGGGCTAATGGTGTCGGACTGACCAAGCGGCAACGCCACGGCAACGCCACGGCCAAGCCCAGGCCGCGCCGACGCACCGTTACACGTACGGGGCTGCAGGGGGAAAGGGATTTAAAACATAACCGAGTGATAATAAAAAGTTCTTTGTCGCCACGGCCATTGTTTTAGAGCGGCCCGCCCGGACGTGTGAAACTTGTCCCGACCGAGCCGCGTCGCCTTTGTTTTAGGCTGGCTGGGCGCGACGCGGCGCGACGCGCGAACTCCGAGCCCGGCCGTCCCTCCGGCCCCCGGGCAAAATATAGGCCGCGCCACCGTGGGGATTGCCATTTCACTTCCTCGCAGACCACTGCGTTTTTTTTGTCTCTCTCGCTCCGCGCCGACAGCATCCACGGACAATTACAAGCACACGTCAATTCCGTCGCCACTTTAGCGCGCTTTGCCGCCTCGCCTCCTCGTCCAGAGGTCGCGGGTTCGAACACCCACTCACCACTATCTTTCCCCCCTTAGGAAACAACAATTTCTGCCCCGAGCCCACCCCGGCCCGGCGCACCGCTTTGAATAATTTCTTTCCGAAAGAACTAATTCCGGGAAGGGCAGCCCGCCTTTCAGTTTTCTTCGCGTTTGTTTTCTCCTACTTCCAACAATAAATGATAACAAAACAATCAAACCCAACTTTTATTCAAAGGAAGTTTCGTGTAGAAGATGCTCGCGCCGCTGGAACGGCTGGCCGGCTGGGGGCGGGGAAGGGGGAAAGGGGGAGGGGGAATGGGGAGGGGGAAGGGGGAGGGGGAAGGGGGAGGGGGGAACAAAAGACGCGGGCGCCGCATCGATACGAAACAAAAGTTGCTCAGGTATGAGGAACGAGAAATAAAAGGGGCAAAGAGCAAAGAAAATGAACCGAGAAAGACATTAATCACGAGCCGCGATGCGATGGGATGGGGCACTTGAGTTCGATCCACTACACTGCGTGCGCCGGCGTGCCGGCATGCGAGAGGGTGTCTTCATTAACACGGACAGTGTTACACCTCGCGTTCCCTAACTTTCACCCTTATCGCATTAAACGGGTGAGATAAGCAATTCTTTCGTTAGGGACAAAAAAAAAGAAGAAGAAGTTCGGGACGCATCGAAGCAGCAAGCGGGTCAAAGTCTTCGGGATCAGATTAGAAGGCCATTAGTGCCAAAGGGGTGGGAAAAAAGATGAGGTTATCGCCGTGAAAAAGGGTCCTTCTCTCGACATACTTTCATTTTCGTAAACGGGGTAGGATTTCCCTTTTAACCGGGCATTGATGCTTTGGATCGAAGCTGATGAAGGGATATAACAACACGGAACAATTGAAAATCGACGGAAAAACAAACACACAATCAATATTCATCCTTGGCGCGTGAGATTAAGGCTCCGGGAGGCGGAAAAAAAATATGGCTGGGCAGCAAGACGCATTCAGAGCGAGAGTCTAAACGAACTGACGAAGCGTGCCAAAGGGGCGGAGCGGCGAATTTTCATCTGGAGCCCATTGTCGAGAAGAAAGGCCAAGAAAAAGGAAGCGCAATCTTACATCACGAGCTTGGCACGAGCTCCTCCCCCGAGAAGGAGAGAGACGGAGAGAAAAAAAGGGGCCGCTGTGAAAAAGTATGTCAACAGTCTTGTGGACCCTCCTCCTCTAAGCTGACCCCTCCATATTCAACTGCCACCCCTCCATCCTTTTTTTCCCTCTTCCTGTCGCCCTCCCCTACCACTGGGGTGAATCTCGAGCGAGAAAAAAAAAGAGGAAAAAAAAAGTGCGAGAGAGAGAGAACGAGTATGATAAGAGCAGCGCGCCTGACAGAGACAGCTGCTCGGTGGGAGGATCCCCGCAATAAAAAAGGAGACGATTTAAAAAGTCAGCCACCCCATTCGCTAATTTTCCCGGCCGAAAAAAAAGAGGGGGACGGGGTCTGCTCGCCTGGCACCGCCAGGGGTTGGAGTGGGGGTTGGCCATTTTTTTTGTGCCTCCACTTGGCCACCATTGGTGGAGGCAGCCAGGCGTGTCGGGCCGGCGCGCGCCGCACGTATGGGTCTGTCTGTCTGTCCGCCTGTCCGCGCACACGGCAGGCCAGACCTACACGCCGCGCCAAACTAGGCATCGGCTTCGCCTTTCACTCCGAGGCGCCTCCCTTTCTGCCCCCGAAAGACGGAATCAAACTTACCTTTCCAAACCACAAGAAGAGAGCGGTGATTAAAAGCAACTTTTGTCGCACGACGCTGTCGGCGCTGCGGAGAAAACGCTCGCAAACACAATGACAACACATTAATTTAGGGCCGAGAGCTCCGCGCCACGCCACGCCACTGCTGAAAAGTCCCCGCGTATAATGTTACAGCAGCGAAGCGCGCGTGGCGTGTGTTAGAATGGGACAGCCACCAAAAATACACCCACTATTTTCATTGTAAATGGTCGCTCTCTTGAAAATAAATTAAATGCGCAGCGAAATGCAATTAGCGAATTCCGTGTCGTGAGCCCTATGGCGGTCCTATGGCGGCCCTATGGCGGCGAGGCGGTCGATTTGACGTCGTCCTCGTCGTCCTGTTCCCGGCATGTGTTGCGCCGTGTCCGCGGGACAGTGTCCGCAGCGTCCGGGCTGACAGCATTACAGACCGCGCCGTTGTTTCAATTACATGGATCGGAGGGAAGAAAACGAAAAAAAAAGAAGAAGAAAAAACAGAGGCGGATTGAAATCGCTTTTTTACGCGGTCTTACACGATTGACAAGCAGAAGCCCTCTGCTTGCTTCAAGTTTGTTGTTGTTGTTGTTGTTGTTGGGCCTTTCGCCGAATTCGGTGGAAGGCCGCGAAGAGACGAGAATCCTATTGCTACAACGGTCTCATGATGTGCAAGTAACAAAGCAACGTGACAACTAAACAATGCCGAAAACAAAAGAAAACAGCAAGCACAAAACGACAAAATCTAAAAAAAATATGCTGAAATGAAAGAAAATACAAGCTGCAATGAGAAAGGCCTCTATAAAATGATCGCTACGAAAAAAGATGTGCGTCCTAGACAAAACGAAAAATTTCAAAAGAAGAAACATAAAATTCAAAAAGAAAGGTGCTGACTGCAGAACAAAAATATTCGGGAACGAAAAGAGAAAAAAGAAGCAGGACACAAAAAAAAGTTGCACGTGGTGACGGAAAGAGTTGCAACTCACTCTCTGCAGAGCCGTCCAGCACTCCTCCAGGGTCCGCTCGTTTATGGCGGAGTTACACCTCATCTGATAGATCCAAGCCGCGTCCGGACAGGAGAGGGAAGAAGAGTTAGACAGGGCAACACAAGCATAGCACCCCCGCAACCACGTTAATAGCATGCACAACATGGCGTAGCGGCACCGCGCCCCCACGACTTTTCAACTTCTTTATAGGCCCTGCTCACGGCCTAGCGGCCTAGCCTACCGGCCTAGCCTCGCGACGGGAGCGTCATGTGAAAGGCGCCATGTGACGGCGACCTGCTTTGTTCGTGGTCGATTGCCATGCATGATAGCCGTCCATCAGTGACTTTGCGTTTGTCTCCCTCATTTTTGTCGTGTTTTTCTGTGGCCGCCCCGCCCCCCGCGGGGCCCTCGGGGCGCATCGTGTCTGGCGGGGCCTCGGCCGCTCTCGGCGACGTCAGGCCGCGGAGTGGAGCTCGCCGACGGGGCGGCGGAAGGGTTGCCGGCGGCCACCCCGCCACGACGCCAACCCTTCCAGCTCCGGCGCGGCGTGCCGACTGCGAGGGAGGGAGACGGGACGGGCCAGACAGGCAACAAGCCCGGACGGGACGGCCTGGAGGGCCTGGAGCCGAGCGACCGAGTTCGGCCGGCCGCCGCTAGGTGTCGCTAGGCGGCGCGGGCCCAGTGTAGCAGCGTAGCTAGCGCGGGGACGGCTTCTGCGCATGCGGCGCGCGGGAAGCACGAACGCAACGCGAGGCCCAGCTGGTGCGGCCCGTCCCGGCCGTCCCGCACCCCTGCTGCCGCCAGCCAGCCAGCCAGCCAGCCGCCGCCGGGATCGTCGAGTAATCGTGTAATTGTATTCGGGAAGACCCCCATCCCCGCGACGTGCCATAGTTCCACCCTTATGGCGATAGATGTCGACACCGGCCGCACTAGTGTTACACAAACTGTTTCGAAAGTTTGGACAAAAGGCGCGACGCCGTTCGTCCGCGGGAAGGCAGACGACGTCGTCGTCGTCGTGGAGGTGCACGACGACGAGCAGCCCTCGGTGCTTCCCCCGCCGAGGCCGCCAAGGCGCGCACAACAGGCCCAAATCAAGCCAATTCCCCAATCACGGAATGAAAGAAAACCGAATCAAACCCACACCCCCAGCAACGGCAGCATGCACCGCCGCCACCTCTTGATGAACCGATCTGCAGCCGAGGCCCTCCGCGTTTCGCGTTTAATTTCATACACATTCATCAGGGGCGCACCGCACGCGAAATCAACGCCCCCCTCCACTGTGGGGAATTGGGCGGCACAACAAGGAAAACAGAGTAAATGGGCGCGGAAAAATAGGCCAGTGCGATGTGTGTAGCTGTCCGTGAATGTGTGTGTGTGTGAGAGCGCTCTTCAGCCCCGCTACGCGCTGCGCGCCCCGGCAGCCCTGCGCCGAGCGGCAGGCCGGCAGGGGGATGGAAAAAGAAATAAAACACAGAGGCTGCGCACGAACTTGATTAGGCCTGGTCAAGTCCCCTGGTTTGCGTCCGCCGCGCCGCACTGCACTGCGCTGCAGCCACGCCACTGCAAGCCGCCCGGCGCCCTAACAGTGTAACGGTCCGAAAACCATTACGGCGCGATTCAATCCCGGATATCAGCGGCTCTTCAATGTATTTTAATGCGACTGCAGGCACTGTGTGTCCTGCGCCCGGGGGGAAGAGGGGGGGGGGCGCTCAGGACGACCCAATATTTTTCGAGGCCCTTTTAATCCTGGATTTGGTCGCGGTGGGTCGCGTGGGGCACGCGGTGCTCGGGCGCACACACACACCTACACACACACACACACTCGCACACACGCACACACATGCGAGGTGGCTACACCTGACGCTATGGACTGCGCACACCGAGGGGGGGCTCACTGGGGTCTCAAACGTACAAAGATTTGACGGCCATTGATTGTCGGAATTTTTTTTCATTTTTCTTAACTTTGTTGATTTTTTTTATTTTCAATGATTTATCCCGAAAAAATTATTTTAAAGGATTTTTGCCTATTTTTATGATTCTTTTTGATTTTTCGATTTTAATTTTGATTTTTTGATTTTAATTTTGATTTTTTGATTTTTTTTAAATTTTTTTTTGAATTTTATGTCCTGCAGAGGCCCAAATTACCGGCAGTCGTACCAACATACGGCAGTTGTTGGCGCGAAATTTCAAACCATTTGAAATCTATGATGCTAGGTGTCGCGCTAAGCTAGTTAATCTGTAACCGAACTCGCTTATGTTTTGAAGTCTTGTGTATCGGTTGCTCATTCCTTTTCATTTCCTCTGATTATTTTTGATTTTTTTGTGATTATTTTTGATTTTTTTTTGATTTTTTGATTTTTTAAAATCATTTTTTGATTTTTTTACAAAGTTTCGATTGATTTTGATTTTCTTCTATGATTTTGATTTTTTTTGATTTTTTGATTTTTTATGATTTTTTTTGATTAGAATTTTGATTTTTTTTGGCGTGTACAATGATTTTCGTCAGTGAGCCCCCCCTCGGCGCACACACTGATCAGCTGCGCGAACAGGGAGAAGGAAAATGGGGAACCGCTAACCCCCGCCCCCGCCCCCTTTTTCTCTATCTACCTATAAAAGAGATGAGGCCCGTAAAACGAGGGGCGTAAAATAACAATCCCGCAGCGCGGCTGGCACAATGGACCAAAAAAAAAAAAAAAATCGGCAATGCAAAAAACAACAACAATAAAATCACTTGTAAATTTTTTGTTTCCAGTAAAATAGTTTTTTTAAGATTGAATTCGCCTGTCCTCATTGAAAGCAAGAAGCCACTGTGCAAGTTGCTCGGGCGGGCCCCTTTATCTGCAAAGTAGTGACGCCTAAGGCCGGAAGGGAGAGGAAGGGGGTGGGGGCGTCTGGGGCGGCGCGAAGGTCACGCACACACAGCCACGCTCACGCACACAGCCACACAGACACACCGACACGCGCAAGTGCGAAAACAACCAGCACAGTGAATTTCAAACTTGCATACAAATAAATTCCTCAACCTTACATAAAAAAAAGAAAAAAAATTGACGACATGATAATTTCTCTCTCTCTTGCTCTCTCTCGCCATGCACAAACACAAACACACACACACACATGCACACACACAAACGCCCTGCTGCGATGCGCGTCCAGCGCGCCATAAATATATATCCTTTTTGCATTAAAATGACATCAAAATATAAAAAGAATGGTCGTCTATCGCGGCAGCAATATCCAGCGTGCGCAGTCCTCTGGTGCATGCATGCAGGCTGTGTGCTTTCGGCTGCACAATCCACACACACAGACACACACACACACACACACTAGCAGCACAGAAATACGAGGAAAGTTTCCGTCATGCGTCCGTGCAATTCTTTCCCCGCTCGTTTTATTTTCGTATTTCGCACCGCGCGCTGCACTGCCCCGCGCTGCACCGGACGGCTGGACGGGCTGGATGCACCACCGACATGGGGCGCTTGAGATGAGAAATGTGACACACGCCCGCGATAAATCTTTTTTTGTCGGGTCATCGTATTTGTATTTGCGCGCAGCAGTGCTGCCTGTTGAATCGGAAATACGGAAAGAAAAAACGAGAGCAGGTTCGCGGGGCCCCCGCGCGGCGCGCGGCGCGCTCGGCCACCCGGGCTGCAGCGCGTTTTAAATTTTGATGAATTTATGGGGAGGGGACGGTCGAACTGTGCTCGTCGGGGTCGGGGCCACGCGAGTGGAAAATCCCTGCTTTTTTCTCTTATTGGGGGGGCCTGCGTTATTACAGGTGCATTCGGGCTTATGCATTATTACAGCCAGTGTATGATTTGTGGGGTTTAAACACACAGGCCACACACACACGCGCACGCTCACAGGGACACACACTAGCCGGGCGGCCGGGCGCATTGGCTAGATTGGTGCATAGCAAAGTAAGCTCTGCACCGCGGGAACCAAACGAGAGGAAAAACAAACGTCGTTTCCCACACGCGCACACACACCAACACACTCGTCACGCGAGGCACGCCTCGCAAGGCGGAGTCGACACGTACCTGAAGTTCATTGACGAGCTTCTCGGTCATGAATTTGGGGTCCGGGGACTCCGACTGCGGGGGCTGGCCGGCGGCTTGCTGCTGCAGCTGCTGGTGGAGTGCCTGCTGCTGCAGCGCCACCAGGGCTTCCTGGGCGCTCGACAGGCTGCCCGTCGGGGACTCGGGGCCGTTGGAGGCGGTGGGGTTTTCTTGGGAGGGAGGTTGCTGTTGCGAGTTCGGTTGCTGGGCTTGCTGTTGGGCTTGTTGCTGCTGGGCTTGTTGTTGCTGGGCTTGCTGTGCTTGCTGGGCTTGCTGTTCCTGCTGGGCTTGCTGGGCTTGCTGTTGCTGCTGGGCTTGCTGGGCTTGTTGCTGCTGGGCCTGCTGCTGCTGTGCCTGCTGGGCCTGCTGCAGGGCGTGCTGGGCTTGCTGCTGCTGCTGGGCCTGGGCCTGGGCCTGCTGGTGCTGCTGCAGCAGGGACGCGGCCAGGCCGTTGGCGAAGGCCAGGGCCGAGGCACTGCCGTTGCCGCCCTGCTGCGGCGAGTGCTGTTGCTGCTGCTGGGCCTGCTGCAGCGCGGCCAGGGTGTTGGGGCTGGGCTGGCCCAGCAGCGCGCTCAGGCCGGCGGGGACTCCGGGCGGCATGGGGCCGCGCTGCCAGAAGTCCGGGTTCATCTTGAAGACGGACCTCTGCACCGCGGCCTGCTGGACGTCCATGGCCATGGGGTTGCCGGGGTGGCCGCCCGGGTGGCCGTCCGGCGTGGAGCGCAGGTCCAGCGGCGTGGCCGTGGGCCCCGTGGGGCCCGTCGGGCCGGTGGGCCCCGAGGGCACGGCGATGTTGGCGCCTCCATTGAGCCCTCCGGGGCCCGGCAGGCCCGGCGCGCCGCCCAGGCTGGGAATGGCGGCGAGCTGCGACGGCGCGAGGGCCGACGCGGACGACTCCGGGGGCGCCAGGAGGAGCTCCTGGTCCTCGTCTTCGTCCTCGTCGTCCTCGTCCTCCTCTTCTTCAGAGTCGACGGGGCGCGGCGAGGCGCCGAGCTGTTGCTGGTGCTGGAGTTCGCGAAGGTCCCGGGCCCGCGTCAGGTTGAGCGGGCCGATGGGGCCCAGCGCCCGGCCAGGGCCCCCGAGAGGGTTCCCGAGCGGGCCCCCCAGCAGGGCGTCGTAGCCGACCGACGCCAAGGCGGCCGTGGCGGTGGGCTCCAGTACGCCGACCAGGTCCGCTCCGAGTCCGCACCCGCCGGGCTCGGCGGCGGGCTGGTGCTGTTCGGGCTGTATGGCGCCGGCGGGGGCGGCCGGCGGCCACGACAGGTCACACGTCACACTCACACTGATGGCTGTGCCGCTGCGAGTCCCCGCAGCGCACTCACTCGCACGACACAAGGCATCCAATAGCACTGCACTGCACTAAGTAATCCAAAGGGGGCTCTCGTGTTCTTGCGGTGTCAGTCGGTGATGACGATGTCGCTCCGAGTTTCGGAATCTGGAAGCAGAAAAACGCGACAAACGGCGCATTAGTCACTCGCCTCGCATCGTGTGTGTCACGTTTCCGGGCACGTCCCGTCGGCCCGTCGCCCGGCAGCACTCGATAAATTTATTTCATCTCCGCCACGTCCACGTCGTCCACGTCGCCTCGTCGGCGAGTGACAGGTGGCAACAACGTGAAACAACGGCCGGGCAGGTAAGGCAGCGGCACGGCGCGCGGCGCGGAGGCACAAAAAACGGACGAGGAGCGTTTAGCCGCGCTGCACCGCGCGCCGTGTCAGCTGACAAGTCCGGCCCGGCCGGCCGCACGGCCTGACACACCGCCAAGCCAGGCATCCAGGGTGGCGTGATGCACACACTCGTCAGCAATCCCAAGTATGAGCAGTAATCCAAGTGGCGACGACGACGACAACTTGCTTCCGTGCACGACAAAAACACTGGCCGGTCGGCAACGACACTGCACGATCGCGACGCACTTTCACAAAACGCCAAGTCCCGGCGGGAAACTGGCGGGACGGCGCGAGCCAAGTCGCGAGCCGGGGACGAGGCGGGCGCGTGAGTGCGGACGCAAGTGGTCGTCGTGAAGCACTAGAGCCAGGCCGGGGCGGCTCCGTCTCGTCACCTTGTCTTGAGGAGCGACTCGGGGCGAACTGGGGCTCCGCGCGCCTGCTCGCTCACTTATACGGGGCGAGGAGTGAGGAGTGAGGCTGGCTGCGCGAGCTGCGCGTCTTCAGACAACCTCCACGGCCAAGACGACGAGCACGAGGCGCCACGGGGCTGCCTGCACGACGCGGGCACGCGGGCACCGCCACGACGGAGGCGGCGGGGGCGGCGCGGCGCTGGCGGCAGCGGCGGGGGCGCGCGCGGAAAGAACGCGGCCTTCGCGGACACTTCTTCAGGAGCGGCGACGGCGTCGACGGCGGCCTCGGCTCACCCCCCTCCTGCTTCCTCGGAAGAAGCGGAAAGAGTGCGGCGGCGGGGGTGGCGGCGCTCCTCCACGCGACGACGGCGTCCTCGGGGCCTCGCGGCGCTAGCGGCGGCGCCGGAGAGCTGCGTGCGGCCCGAGAAAGATTCGCGAACTGAAGAGCTATTCTTCCCGGAGCCTTTTCCCGGCGCCACCATCTCAAGCGCGTAAAAAAGGACGCAGCTAAGGGTGGCTCGGCAAGAAGGAGGAAAAAGGCGTGCGGCCGGCGGCGGCGCCAGGCATCCCCACTCCGCGGCGTCGCTGCGCCCTCCCCTCCGCTCCTTGCAGTGCGGCGGCCAAGGGGCGGCGAGAGGCGGACCGGGGAGGGCGCCTCCTTGGCCGACTGCGCCGGCGCCGCAAGACTCCGGACTCGGCGCGGAGCGCGTAGCCTCGCGTGGCCGTCTCGACGTCTTCCCCTCCCCTCCAGGCCTCCAGGCGCGGGGCTGGGGCTGGGGCTCGGGGCGCGCGCCGAGCAGTGCGCCGCGGTGCGCGAGGGAGGGGGTGGCGCGCCGTGGCGGTCTCGGTGAGTCGGTCTCACTCCGGCCGCCGCGCTCGCGGACTAAAAATGATTTCTCCCTCTTGCTTTCGCCTTGTCTTTGCCTCGCGCTCCGCGTAGCTCGCGTCTGAGATCCCCCTCCCCGCCTCGCGCGGCGCGCGCCGGTCTAGCGCCGCGCAGCCACCCCCACCCCTACGGTACCTTCGGGCCCGTCCGGGCCTTGGCCGTGGTGGGGGAAGGGGTTGCTGAGCGCGCTAGTGCGCTGCCTTCCGCGGCTCCTAGTCGCTGCGAGGTGCGCCCCGCGGCCGCATCCCCTCTTCGAGAGCCTCTCCCCTTCCCCTCCAACCCTGCAGGCCTACATGCTGGCGGCCCGGCCTGCCCGGCCTGCCCCGCCGGCCTCCGTCCCGTCGTGGACCTGGACCGGGCCTCGGCCAGCCCTCCGCGCACGCAGCGCACGCAACGCACGCGCCGGGAACAACCGGCCCCGAGACCCGGACCGAGATCGAGTCCAGGAGTCGGAGGCTGCGGCAGCCGAAACCGGCCTGGCCCTGGCGGCGGGCTGGCGGCGGGCACGCGCTGGACCAGGTCATGCAGCGCGTCCCCGTGGTCGCCGTGTCCTCGTTGCCGGGGTGATGGATGACCGCCGTCGGCCTCCCTCCTCGAGTGGCCGCGGTCCGCGCGGTCCGCGTCCAGAACCAGAGTGTTGATGATGTAGTCGGCGTCCGCCCGCACTGCCGCCGTTAGATTAATTCCTGCTCGTCAACGCGCCAAAACGTCGTTTTACCCCCGAACACGCCGCGTCCCCTCGCGCACCACAAGCAGTGCGTGTGCGGCTTGCACGGCAGCGCGGCCAGGGAACACGGAAACGCAGACCGCGAGGGTCACGGCACCGCCGCGGAGCGGTGGACACCTCGCCGTCGTCCTCCCATTCCACCGACACTTTTTTGTCCTCGCCGAACTCATTACGGCGGCTATCTGCCTGCTGCAGACGGCCGGTACACTGTCTCTCTCGCACCCCGACGCGCGAGAGCGTGAGTGCGAGAGAGAGCGAGAGATCCGCCTCTCGGAATGAGTCTGCAGGCGAGCCGCGCCGAGCTGCAGCCGGACGGGGACCGTATGCAAATTAAAGATGACCAGAGCGCGATCCCTTCACACCTGCACGCGGTGCACATGCGGCGCGCGACGAGCAGGAATCGGGCGGCAAAAATCAGCGATAGAGTGATGCCGAGAGTCGCCTGTCTCTCTCGCACCCACAAGGAACGCCCCATGAGTGCGAGAGAGACAGAGCGACGGCTTTCCAGGCGTTGCAGCGACAGCGTGCGCACCCAGTGGCGGTGGTGTCCGAGAGTCCTGGACACTCCACTGGGAGCCGAACGGAACGGTGCGCTGCGCGCCGAAGGGGTTCCGAATCGCCGAGGCAAGCGATGCTCAGCCGCTCGAAAAAGACAAAACAAAAACACCGCGTGTCTTTGCCTGCCTCCGGAATAAAATCCCATTCCCCGGGCAAGCCACACACGCGCTGCATGTACAGAGGAATCTGCCCGTTCGGTCAGAAAGCGCGGGCCGGCAGCGGGCTGATTCCGAACCAGTACTTCGTCGTCCTGTCTCTGTCTCTGTCGCACTCACGCGGCGTTCCGCAGAGGTGCGAGAGAGACGGAGTGTCGTTTCAGAGTGTAGGCGGCTCGTAATCAAGTAGCGAGATGGTCGGCCACTCTGCTGGCCCGCTGGCCGCTGGGCCGCGCTAATCTGTGTTTGCCGACCGGAGCCAAGCCGGAGCACACAGGAGTAAGTGGCGCGGCCAAACGGGCGGCACGCGTCGGGGCCAAAAAGCAAAGAAAAACGGAAAACATCCTCACTGGCCACGAGGAGGACGGCGCGCGGGGTGGCCTGGGCGAGCCGCGTTGCTGGCGCCTACACTGGCGGTGCCGGGCGGTGCTGCGCCCTGGCGGCGCCTCCGAGAAGCACACCCAAAGGGGTGAGTGGCGCGGCGTGGCGCGGCGTGGCGCGGCGCACGGCGAGGGAGGGTGCGACGCCCGCCTCAAGGAAGGCACGGCCGGGGCCGCGGCCAGGGAAAGGTCCTCCTCGCGCCTCGAGCCTCGCGCCGCTCCGCGCGACGACCACGACGACGAGGCTGACGGGGAGCCGGAGCCGCGACGCCGCGAAGCGGAGGGGTGCCGCCGCGGACTCGGCGCGCCGGCTGGACGGCGCGGACCACGACGGACGCGTGCTGGACGGCCAGGGCGAGGACGAGGACTGCGCGCCGACCGGGCGGGCCGGGCAGGCCGGACACGCCGCACGGGTCTGGTCCGAGCGGTCCAGCCGTCCAGCGGGCAGGGGGTCATGGCGCCTGCGGGGTAGGCAGTGCGGACGCAGCCGCGCTCGGCGGGACTGCATAGCCAAGGACTCC